TCATGGCTGAGTGGGGACTGGAACCTGGATCTCTAATTTTGTGGAAAATGGTAGAAGAAGCCAAAGTTAAGCCAGTTAAACCCCTCAGAAAGGGGTTTAAATGGAAGCTGTTCTTCTGTTACACTGAGTTAAGAAGGTGGAGTTATGCATTAAAGAATTTGTGATTGGACCTGAAGATTAAAGACTATCCAGTAGGGAAGGGCTTCACCCTTTTTAGGCTCCACCCCCACACACCTGTATAAAAGCAGGTCCATAAAGAGGGAACTTGTGTGTGTCCTTTTTGCTTTCTGGGTTTTTTTCTCCAGCTTGAAAAACATCTAGAAATCTAAACTTGAGGGAACATGGATGAGAGTTGAGATACACAGAGAATGTGGGCAATGCTTTTTTGCTTCTCATCTGCATAGACTGACTTGCTTGGACCCTGAAACTTTTTGGGAAGGTGCACTGACTGGGGGAGGGCTGGGAGCCTGAGTGAGGACCGCCATGGAGAGACAGCCCGTGGAAGTTGTGGTGATCACTGCTGGACGAGGCCTTTGCCGGAAGCGCCCTGCACCAGCCTTGGGAGAAGACCTGCCTGTCTTTAAGAGGCCTCGGAGAAATTCCCCAGATTACCCCATGGAATGGGAAGTCAGTCTGCCACTGGACCAGAGTCAGTGCAGCAGCTCTGAAGGTGGGGAGAGACACCTACGGCAACTTGTGTGTGTTTTAAAGATGGAGTAGCAGTAGTTGACACGGGTGTGGAGACAGGCCATTGTGAAGCAGTAAGAACCCCTGTCTGCTAAGCTTGTGTTCAGGTGTGGTTATGGATTAATGTTTTGATGTCCTCTGAGCTGGACATCAGCAGCTAGGGCAGCTGGAGCCAAATCTGCCCCCAAGTTGTTCTCCAAAGGTAAGGGAAGTATATGGAGAGACCGGTGCTTTAACAGTCCTTTCTCATACATGTGACTGACCGGGGCTTGAGCAGTGTTCTCTCACAAACACCCTTTTCTCATTTTTCCTTTTTCAGAGGGACCAACCTTTTTTTTTTACCGTATAAAAGCTTAAATGCAATTCTTTGCACCAAAGAATAGGAAGTAACTGGTGCATCATGATGTCTGTACCCTGGGAGCAGCGGGGCGTTTTTTCCTTTGTGGGTGTGTTAGCTTCTCAGCAATGCAGATGTGCCAATTCAGCTGAAATTGCTGTGCTATTTTTCCAGTGTTCTGTGAAAACTAAGCTTGCTACTTCCGTAGCAACAAAATTCATCTGTGTTTCTTTAATCTTCCTCAAAATGCCCTCCAGTGCTACCATGGACTCGTTGGGATTGCATTGTTCAGCAATTGCCAGTGTTTCTTTGAAGATCTGTCCCCCAAAGGGGTCTCCCAAGGGTACAACCAGCTCATGTGATAATGGGTCCCATTATAGCCTGGGTCTAAGGAACCATGAACAGAAGGAAAAGTGCACATCTGTGAATTCTTGAGCCAGCGATGAAGGCAGTTCTAATTTGCCACATCTGGAGGCTGCTACATCTGGAGCCATTACAAGGTCTTGAGAATAAAGCTTTTTGCAAAGCTGCACTCAAGAATGTGTGCCAATGGAGGAATTCCTGGATTTGGGGTTGCTTTTTCTCTGCAGTGCCCTTTGCTAAGTAAGGAACTGTTTTTCTGTGAATGCAAGAGACCTGGTGCTTGTAAAGAGACCGCTGGGTCTCCATGCATGTTGCTTGTGTAATTGGGGTGTCATAGATTTAATCCTCCAAGTCCTGCCTCCTGAAAGAGCCCCGTGAGGCTCCATGTGCCCTTTGTGGAACCTCTGTAGGCTAGCAATTCTGCATGCCTGGCTTAATTAATGTAGCAGACGCACGATACGGCCTTTAGGATGTGTGAGGTGAGGCAAGGATACCATTTCTGCTTGGTCTAAGAAGGGGCGTGGGGCCAAGTGTCAAGAGCAAGCTGGTGAACAGGGAGTTACATGGTTGATTGTGGAAGAAAGTTGAGCATAACAATTTACTGCTGTGTAAGATGGGGACTACCACACCTAGCAGAGTGTGGCTTGACCAAACTGCGGGGAGGTGGGCAAGGTGAACTCAGTTTTCTGGGGAAGGGAAGTGGTTCTGATTGATTTAGAGATGTCCCCAGTGTGCTGCCCTGAGAGGCCCAGGGTGGCATTGCGGGTAAGAATGTGGGTCTGGGATCTCCAGCCATGAGCCATGAAGCCATGAAGCCAACTGAGTGACTTTAGGCCAGTCACAGACTCTCAGCCCATCCTACCTCACACGGTTGTTGTGGGGACAAGAGTGAAAACAAGAGGAAGAGAATGATGTTAGCCACTTTGAGGTCTTTTTGAAAAAGTGGGATATAAATTAATAAGAGCTAGAAACCCCATCATCACCAGTGGGCAAGGTTTAGTGGTCATGTTGTCTGGAGATGATAGGAGTTGTAATCCTATCATCTGTAGGGCACTTTTTTGGGGAAGGCTGATTTAGCACATTTGTGGTTTGAGATGGTGCGCTTTTGCTCTCCCACAGGAAGCCAGTGCTGTGGTCTTCTATTGTGTGGTGGTGGTGTTGTGTTTGTGCTACCTAACAGTTGATTTTCTCTCTGAAAAACACACTGTCCTGTCTTCTATTTTTCTTCTGTGCTTTGCATCTACAGTGTTCATTCCATCCAGCCTGGACTGCCCCATAGCGCGACCCCAATGTACAAGGAGGTGCAAAAAGCCGCTGCGAAGGGCTGCATATAATCCCTACGACTTCACTTCAGATGATCTTGACCCAGCCTACGAATGGCCAAGGGAATCTTCTTCAGCCAAAAAATGTAAGATGCCCTGCGGAGCCAAACAGCAGTTTTTGTATGTTTTGGGGAATAAATGCAGAACTCGGGTTTGTGCGAGCAGGGAAGAAAGCAGCGGCCTGGTATTACACAGGGGACAGCAATGTACCGCATTCTAGATATGGGTGGATTTTAACTCCCATCAGCCTTACCCAGCATAGTCAAGGGTGAGGGATGATGGGGGTTGCAGCAGTCCAACAACATCTGCTGGGCCAGAAGGGTGAGAGAGGTGGCAGAAATGTAAGTCTGAAAGGACAACTGTGGGTGTCGGAGACATGGTTCCCTGAGAGCATGGACTGTACCACTTCAGATTACAGGAGGGATCCAATGTGGAATGCTATTTTAAAAGATAATGCCCCTCTGCAGGTAGAACCCACAGGGTGCTTCCAGACAGGCCTGTTATTATGCACATACCCCGAATTTTCCCTACCCAGAGTACTTGCAGAGGGTTTTCCATACTACCAGTCAAAAGGCATGATGCACCTCCCCCGTCTTACAGTGACCCTGCCCAGCAGAGTTTTTTGGGGGGTGGGGGGAGATAGAAGGACTAGTGGGAACACCTGGGAGGGCTTTGAGTGGGAGCCATTGTTGTCTGGTGGGCGGGGCTAGAGCCAAAGTGGGCAGGGCATCCTTTTCCACCTTTGCTGTTTTCTCCCCCTCCTGCTGCCTAGCAGGCTATCGGGAGACGGTTGCTTTAGCTGGAGGTCTGAGCTGCTCATGTACAAGGAGCTTTTGAAATCAGGCTAAAGGCAGCAGTGCTTGCCTGTGACTAAGAAAAAAAAGTGTGACCCTTTAGTGTGGTTCGGTTTGCTTGGAGACCTTGGAAACCAGGACTCCTAGGCTGTCCTTGGTGGACATGGGAGAGCGATGTACAATGGGTTGCCATGAGAAGGCTCAGTAACGGGTCTTTCGGACATGTTCTTGATACGTTCATGTGCATCACTAGGTTTCTCTACATGAGACATTCCCTGTGCGCTTGTGATTCTTCACTCATGGTAGTTTGAGGGGACATGATACTGTTGTTCTCCAGGGCCTCGCCTGCATTTTGCAACCATTTTCACACTTTTCTAGAACCAGGATAATGTGCTACCATTTTGTTTTCCTGCTGAAAGAGGCCCCTGTACTTTAGCAGTTGCCCTGTCCTGCAGCACCACTTTGTGGTTGAGTGATAGAACATGTAGCAAGGCAGAGAAAGAAAAACCCATGTGCAAAGGATCTGCTTTTGCTCCCACAAAGCAAATGGAAAAAGCACCAGGCCTCATGAAGAGAAGCCCTGGGATTTCCTTGGAGGTGAAATGGTGTATACTATGTTAGAGAAAGGGGTACAGACAGGTTCGGGGTGTCTGGTATGCAGTGCATTGGGGTTTGGGAATGAAGGGTGTAGCTTGAAGTGGAGGCACTTGGAATTAAGGGCCAGTGAGTATAAAGGAACTATAATAAGGGGCAAGAATGGTGTGACTTCTGCTGCTCATTGTACGGCAAAGAGAAATTTAGCCAGAAACGCACCCTGCGCACCTGTTGAAACTGCATCTTTTGCTCTAGCCTTAAAGTACCAAGTTTTCTCTGCCCTTGTCTCCCTGGTTACAAAGGCAAGTGGGAAGCTATCTTATGCCATGCTAGAATACTTGGCCACCTTGCAGTAGTTCTCCAGGGCCTCTGGGAGAGGGCTCCCATCTCTGGCTGCCCAGTCAGGGCTGGCTCCTGCCTGTGACTTGTCTCCTCTGGTCTACTGCAACCTGCTTGTTTCCCTGCTCTTCCTTTGGCCTAGACGATAGTCCTGGCAGGAGGAAGGAGCAGCAGGGCTTGCTGCCTCTCTGCCTGGCAAGCAGACAAGTGGCTGCAGTACTGAGAAATAGGGGAGGGAAGGCGTGATAGCAGCTGGTGACAGTGGTGGGAAAAGGGAGACTCAGCAGGCTCATTGGGAAGGTCTTGCCTGGGAGCCCAGCTCTGGCACTGTACCGGCTTCATTTTAACTGGGACGGAAACACAGTGCTTGTAACACACCTGTGCTCCATTCCAGTGCTATGGTCCCTCCCCAAGGGGTGTGTGACCTGAGCTGTCTGTGCTTTCTGTAGCTTTCCGATGGCCTGCCCTCCACACTGACCAGTGGGCTGGCTGTGCTCTTCAGAGTGCCAGGATCCCTTCTGAAGGGCGCCAGAGCCATGCTGCTGATTCCTCACTGTATTGCAGGTGGGGTGGATGTGCTTCCTCTCCTGCGGAGCACGCTGGCCCCATTTCCTTCAGGCTTGCGGCTGCAGAAGCTGGAGGCCATGATGTGGAAGGACCACAAAGTGCAGCTGTGGGAGCTGAGCTTGCAGCGGGGCTACGGGGACTGCCTGGGGTTCTTGAAGGCGCTGCCGGGGATCAGGCTCAAGCTCCCGGGCAAGGGGGCTTCCCGGTGCCTCGTGCAGCTGGACCCAGGTGAGTGCCACGCCTCCATCCTGGCCACGTCACGTGTGGAGGGCTAGGAGCCTGCCTAGTCTACCATCTTCTGCCCTGACTTTGTGCCTAGATGGTGCTGTCCTGTCTCTTGCTTCACTTAGCCGTAGCGACTCCCAATTAATCTGTGGACAAAATTTTCCCTAATTGCTGTGTGTCACAGTCAACCTAGGAAATGCCATTTAAGGCTTCCTCACCCTGGTGCTTTTGGACTTCGGCTCCCATCAGCCCCAGCCAGTGTCCTGATCTGCATGAGAAGCTTAGCTATGGTGGCTCATAAGCCCTGGTAGGTTAGCATGTTGTGGAAACCTGGCATTGTTTTCTCAGAGAGGGTTAGGTTGCAAGGAACCCTGACAAGCCATGGCTTGCAGTAGGATTTGCTTGGCCCATGATGGATTGTAGTGTCATCTAGACTCAGACAATATGACTCATTGTGGGTTAATGTGAAACCCACAAGATGCTTGACAGGAGCAGCAAAAGCCCTTGCCAGGTGGCTGTTGAGCTAGTGCCACCAGCAGCCACCCCAAAATTGCCCAAGTGGGCCTCGGGGGTGGGTGGTAGAGAACTCCCCCTCTGCCTTCCAAGACTGCAAGATGTTTTGGGGCATGCCGTGGGGCCTGAGCTAGTAGTCTGTGCCACCGTGTGGGTCATCGGAACCACCCAGCACTTGCAATCATCAAGTATGCGGCCAGCTGCAGTTGTTTTATGTCCAGTCTCAGCACCGCCAGGGTCAGGTGGCAGTGATGGGAAGGGCAACCGAAAAACCACCGCTAGCCAAAGTGAAAGGCCATACTGGGCTAGATAGACCCGTGGTCTGATTTGCTATCGGGCAGGTTCCCATAATCTTACCCCCTCCCACTATCCCTGGAGCAAAAGAGCAAGACAGAAAAAAATAAGTAAAAACTTATCTATCCGTATGAATTGGCGACTCCGAGATACCTAAATTTGTCTCTTTCTGCTCCATTTTTTATAGCTGGAGTGAAAACATCCCACTGACTTCCTTGTACACACAGCGAGAAAGGAGCCATGGCAGTCAGTGAAAGAAGAATCCTAGGAAACCTGCTTTGTTATTGCCACAGTTCCAATAGAGTGTGTGTGTGTGTGTGTGTGTGTGTGAGAGAGAGAGAGAGAGAGAGAGAGAGAAAGAGAGAGAGAGCGAGAGAGAGAGAGATCTCCTTTCCCAAACTCAGGTGTATGGGAAATCCATTCCAAACTAGCCTTGCATAAAAAGAGACTGCTCTTTTTATGGGTGCCTCCCATTTTCTTGATCAAAATCTTTGAGCTGACATTTCCACTGGGAGCAGGTGCCCTTTGTGATCCAGCCTCTAGAGGGTGCAACAACCATATTTTTTCTGGCTCTCCCCCTCCTCCCCCACTGCCCAGAAGAGATTTCTTTGGAATATTAATAGACTAACATCCTTCTTAATGAAAGAAAGTATTAAAAAGAGGTTTGGACTTGAGTTCTCAGCACTGGAACAGGCTAAACATGGATTGGATTGGATTGGAGTGAGGGAAAGTGAGATGGCTTGCGTTAAGGAGGCCCCTTGGTATGTGGCCCACAGGCATCTTCCTCCAGGGCTAGGTGGGCTGGCTGTCCCAAAATGGAGGGGGAAGGAATGATGTCATCAAGGGAGAAATGATGCAATCAAGGGTCACATTATCGCCGTAGCCCATTGGCCAGGCTTTTTATTCAAAGGGGGTGCCCTCACGATGATTTGGACTGCCACTCCCAGCATTCCAGACCATTGGCCATGCTACCTGGGGCTGATGGGCCTTGATGTACAAAGCATCTGGAGTGCCTCAGGTTGGGGAATGTAGAAAAGACATACTGTCTTTTTATGATGCGTGTGCGATCATAGTCCAAATAGTATTAATTACTGTAGTTGGCATAGTAACTGAGGTGTCGCATTTTTCTCAGTGATAAGTACCCTGCTTTCAGTGCTGGGGAAATAATTTCCCGGCCATGGGAACATTTCGTTGAGAGAGCACTTCTGGAATCACCTTCTGCGAGTGTTCCACTGCTTTTTTTTTTGGCTTGCCCACTCAGTTAAGAAAAACTTCCTTGGGACTTTGGGGTTGAGACACTGATCAGTTTTTTGAGACTTGACAGATAGACCAAAGGGGCAGCTTTGAATCTGCAGTTTTCACCCGCAGGACTTAAATGCTGGGGCCAGAGAGGAAGTGCTGTGCTAAATGGAGCTTTTCTTCCTTCTGTGTAGATCATGGACGAGCAGAAGGCAGATCAGTGGACTGGCAAGGGTCAGCTCCGTGCTGAGCATGCGAACTTCCTCCCCTCCAAATTAACTCCTGCAGTGGAGTCTGGTCTTCCAGATGCGGGACCATCAGCCCCAGCAAGCATGGCCAATGGTTAGGGTTAGTCAAACAGCACCAGGAGCGGATTTGGGTGTGAAAGGACTGCAAGCTCAGTTTTCACGTGAAAAGAAAAAGGGCACGTCCTGAGCCACCATTTTGCACGCAGTAGACCTCAGAGTTTTAATTACAAATGAAAGAAAAAGACCTCATGTCTTCCCACAGCTAATGAAGAAGTGACCCAGTGCTGGAGGTTCCCCTTCTTGGCCGCAGCTAAACCAGTGATTCCCCTACCTGATGACCTCCAGATGCATCAAACTGCATCTCTCATATTTCCGATTGCTGGGTGATAATTGTGGGAATTGCAGGCCAGTATATAGGGAGGGCATGAGCTTGGGGGTGGTTACATAAAGAGCTCTTCTGAATCTGCTCCTGGCAACCCTGGTTTGACCACCTCTAGCCATGCTGAAAGGTTTCTCTGCTTCCACTGTGTGTTATAGTTTCCTTGCTGCTGATCTCTGCACTTGCTTTAGGGCATTGAAGCAGATGGAATGCCACTGTCTGTGGTTGATAGACTCACCTTTCCTTTAATTAGCTGGCTTTGTTCATTTTCTGGCTGGTAGTCTGGATTTAACATGCATAAATCTATTTCCTCTTCCTCCTCCTTGATTCAATAAGCATAAAGAGCAAAGGAAACTGTTCATCCAGAAGGAAAAAATCTACAATCCACGGATGGGCAATCGCCTTTTATTAGGACCAAATCAACCATCACAAAACAGCAAGCAAACTTTCACGTTTTCTGGAACTCTTGAACAGGTGGGATGTTACCCAAAGGGGTGGGGGGAATGCAAAAAGTAGGCTGGGTGCGCTAGTCACAAGGTCTGCATCCTGACTCACTCTCAAGATGGAGATGGCAGGCTGACTGAATTCGTCTCTGCAAGAATTGGGATTCTGGGCAAAAAAAGCAATGACTGCAAATACCTGAATTCAAAAAGCTTGCTCGCTATTTTGTGCCATTTAGGTCCTAATACAATTATTGCCTAACTGGGTTTTAGAAATTATTCCATGAACAGATGGAGGGATTAGTACACATACCCCATTTTACAGAAGATGCATCTTTCTAATGCTCCATCAGCTTTCGTGTGTATAAAAACCTTTGAACCATTCCTCTTTCTGCCTAAGTTCCTTTCTTTGAAAACCAGCAGGATGCAATGTAATTATTCTGACCTCTAAAATATGACAGCATTTTCTGCTGGCTGCCTTGCTCAGATGTTCCAAATACTATATTCTGATGGTGAAACTAATAAGCAAATATAACCAAATAAAATGGTAATGCAACTCTTTTTTCCTTCCTGGCAGAGGTGCTTCTATTTTTTACTAGCATGGGTGGGTGGAGTACAGCAGCCAAAATAAAAATGCCATCCCTGTTGAGTACTAGTGTAACCCTTTATATTGATTCTCAGTGCCTTGAGAGCTGTACCCACAAACCCTTGAGCAATGTATCTGTATATTTCCAAATCTGTTGCATGTTTCCAGTTTGGCTTCTACAAACCAATATTTCTCTAGTGTTAGAGGAACTTTGCTTAGTTCCTGCCTCTTCCCCAATTTGCTAGTGAAATATACATCTCTTAAAAACAAATTAGTCACAGTGTAAACAGGTTAACACTTCAGGACCTCATTTTGCAGTTTGCAATAGGAAAAGTCATTAGTATAATAGAATATACTAACAACCCCACATTTCTGTGGCCATTGCTAATTCTTGCCTGCAGCTTGAATAACTTCAGCTCTTCCATTCTTGAAGGAAATCTTCCACTCCACTCCAGGTTAGCCTCTAAATATTTTCATTCCCTCTGCATCAGATGTTTGAAGGTGTTTCAGAACCGTGGTTGATGTCCGTACTGGGTTTTTCCCAGGTGCCTCCAAGCACGGGATAGCCCGATATGTGGAGGATTGTGATACAGCTGTCCTTGTAACCGTCCTAGGGGCAAGTAGCCAGGGGAAGAGGTCATGTGTCCATGGGCCAGGTGGATGGGCACCCTTGGCTCATCAGGAGCATGGCCAACGCCTCGCTGTTTCATCAGCTCTTTTGCTGGCGTGTCCTGGTAACCCCATTTCTGTGAAAGAGTTAGAAAACACACACCATCTCAGACTTAGAACCAAGGCACAGGCTGTACGCCTGGATGCTCGCACACACATCCAGTTGCACTTCCCAGTTTGTAGTTTGCATGGTTTCAATGAGAAACTAGCCTGTACAATGGTCGATAGGCTTTCATGCTCCTCCTCGCAACCACCAAACTTAGAAATGCAATTGTCTACTAAAATAAAATGGTGCTTAAGATCCTCAGCAGCCAGGGTGGCTTGCAGAGAGTGCCCAAGGATTCCCTCCTCCCTCAGCACCTGCTTTGAAAGCCTGTGCATTGCTCAGGAATATGTGGGGCAATATTGGAGAGGATGAACCTCTGAGTTGCATCAGTGGTTAAGGGCAGACTGTCTTGGTCACACGGGTTTGAATTCCAAGGATGGTTAAGCCCATTTCCTCTTGCCTTAGAAATTTAATATATGCTTATGCAATTCTGCATTTGAAGCAGAGGGCTTATGGGATGTATATTTTCCATGCAGTCTACAGTCAATGGCAGGCCCAATATATGTAAGGGAGTGGAGCAAATTAATTTTTGAGGGGAGAAGACAGGCAGGTGAGGAAGACTGAATTACAGGCATACAATGGAGTGGCTGGAGTGAGGCCATCTTTCACCCTTTGCCTTGACAGCTGCATTCCTGGCACTGAAGGGATAAGAAAGGCCACGCCTGTTGAACAGCTGCCTGCTTCACAGCTGTTCCAGACAATGGCATGAAGAGCAGAAGGTAGTGCTAACGGATAAGCAGAGGGAATAGTCCTGCTCTGAAACTTGTTGCCGCCCTAATTCAGGTGTAGCCTTTTTCAATATTGACTGAAGGAGCTGCCTGTGGCTGTTGGCCCAAGGCGGGAGTGGCAGGCGGGGGGCCCTTTCCCAGCCTCCCCTGTCAGAAAACTGCCTGCGAGGGAGGCCCAGCCCTCCCCTGAGTTCTCCGCTCCCGGGACTGCCACCCGGCTTGTGCCTTCGGGGGCCAGTGGCAACCGGCCATGCAGTGGTTGAGGCTTCGGGACCACCAGCACGTACTGGGGGGCTTTCCGCAGGCTGAGGAAGGCCGGGGCTAACAGATGGTGTGTGGGGCTGAAAGCTGGGGTTGCCGGTTGCAAAAGGTGCTGCCCCAGTAAAGCAGGCCTGTGGGATGTGAAGACCTGAGTTCAAATCCTGCCTTCCCTCCACCTCTCAGCCTCAGACCTACTCCTGCAATACAGGAATGATGATAATGGCCAACATTGCAGGGATGTTGGGAATTGTTTTGTCCACTTGTAAATTGCTACGTTATCATTCCATCCATGCGAAATATTAAGCTCACCTCAGCTGCCATTCACATGGTAGCCTTGGGAAAGTCATAGCAAACTTTAGAAGCAACAAGTATCTAGCCACTGGTCAATTTTAAATTACTGCTAGCTTCTTCCGGAACTTTCCATATTCAAGAAGCAGGAACATTATACTTCATTTAGTTCTTATATGGTAACAATTATATGGAGCACTGGGGACACATGAAAGTGTTCTGACATTGGGAAATTTATATCGCTACTGATGTCTTTTAAAGTAAATGTATGGGTTGCTTTAAAAAGGGGAACAGCATTATTTATGGGTTTCTAACTCTATTTGGTACTAATGTGTTATCCCTTCCGTAGCTGGGAATGAGAAATCAAAATGTTGGTTAGGAGAGTGGCAAATAATTTGTTTTCTACAGTAACCAGAACTTCTGGGAGCTCAAAATCAGGGACTGGTTTCTACAGCAACTGGAATATCTGAGGAAATACAGAATGTTGGTTCCTATGAGATCTGGAATTTATGGAAAACAAAATAGTTTGCTCTGAAAGTGTCCAGAATTCACGAGGAAAGCTTTGTTAAGGGATCCCGCAGTGCCTAGAAGCTTACAATCCCTGCTTTCAGGGAACTGATTTACTGAAATGTTAAATTTGACCTCAAACTAGGATTAGAAAATATTGAAATTTTTTTGTTCCCATGGAAACTTAAATTACTAGAGAAATTTTGATTCCCATAGGAGCCAGAGTTTAAGCTGCAAAACAAAGGGGAATATATCTTTTAAAAACCCTGAAATATTTTTGTCTTACAGAAAGAAGCATGTGGGGAACAAAGATCCACAGTTTTCTCTAGAAATCATTAGTGTGAAAGAGAGAGAGAAAGCAAGATGACTCCTAAGAAAGCTGCCTAGGGCAGAATTGTGGGGCACATCACATCAAGCACGTACTTACTAGGTAACTTTAGCATGGGACAAGAGAGGCTGCAGGGGCAGATGGGTATGTAGGCATGCATTGCATAGCAAGCATGAATTTAGAGAAGCATCCAGAAGTCAAACAGAACAGCTGTTTCCAGATGTTACCCATTTCTGCTCCTAGGTGACCAAGGGTGGTTTGGGAAAGGAGTTTGAACCTGTGTTGGGCAGTAAAAAAATAATAAAATACTCATGGGAACAGAGAGGATTGTCCTGAGGTCCACTTTGCTTTGAGAGACACCCTCCCAAAGCAAAGCGGGCTGAAGTGGGTTTAGGCTGCAGCCACCAGGGCTGGCCAGGGACATTTCGCTGTGTGTGCCAAAGCACACAGCGCTTCCCTTCTCCGTCCCACATACTGCAGCCAATTGCTCTGGCAGTTGAATCTTAATTCAGCTCTGAGAAGGGAGGGGAGTCTTGGGGGCTAAAGCTGCAGAAACAGGATGGCTGGACTCTCAAGACCAGGACTGGATAACTTGTGGCCCTCCAGATGCTTTGGTCAACAGCCTATGATTACTAACTCTGATGGGAACTGGAGGCCAAAGCATTTGGAAGGCCAGATGTTGCCCACCTCTGTTCTAGAAGGAAGTGGGACGTCCCCTGGGTCAGAGAGGATCATGCTTACCTTAGGGTCTTCACCCGCATCCATCCCGTTCCGTCCCCAGCCTGTGGTGCTGGACCCAGAGAGCTGGCTGAAGCAGCTGAGATCCCACAGTGACTTCGTAGCACGGGCTCCTGTAGTCTTGGCTGCCGAGAGCCGGCTCCGCTGCACGTTCCTGAGGATATCGCTGAGGGCGCTGTGCCCATCGGGAGTTCCCTGCAGGCCCCCTCCACTAAGGTCTGCACCACGCCATGCTGTGAGCCGGTTCCGGATGGACACCTCAGGGGACGGGGCGGGCAGCATGGGGTCCTCTGCAGTAGTGGGAGTGGCCACCACTAGATCCCAGTCACCGGCACGGCTCTTGGCCACTGGTTGTGGAGCCACAGAGCGCCGCTCTGCAATGCGGTTGGAAAGTTGCACCCCGTCCAGGATGCTGACATATGGAGCCATGTCTGGCCCATTGATGCTTGGCAGTGGAGTCATAGAAGCAGCCTGGGCTCTAGGTGGCATCTCCAGAGCTGGCAAAGGGCAGGAAGCAGCGTACAAGGTCCGGAATTCCCGGTCAAAGGCTTCTGTTACCTCCCCTGTAAGCCGAGTGACCAGGTGGCGGTTTAAGCGGGCATCGGTCCATGTGAAACTGTTGAGAAGAAAACATGTTTAACCACAGAACCTGGTCCTGTATTCTCTGTCTGTTGCGTTTTTTCCCTTTTACAAAGGCGAATTCATGAGCATTTTTTCTTAGACTGGGCGAGCATAGAGGTGATCTTTGCCAATCCACTTCTCCTGCCCCACAAGTCAACTGGATGGCTGATTTCAGTTGTCAACTGCTGCACTTCAGATATGGCAGGAAGGAAGGAAGGAAGGAAGCTGGAGAATTGCAGGAATACTTTCTACCCTGGTAGACCCGTTCTCCTGCCCTTCTCCCCTATTTTTATTCCTCCTTCATGGTTGGTCTTGCAACCTCATAGAAGCAGTCAATGCAGTTCTTTCGGCACCAGCTACAAGGGGTGGGGGGATCTATATATGGATCTCCACTCTAAGATTGGATAAAATTTCCAGCCACAAATTTAGGAATCTGAAAAATCCTCTGGCCCACCTCACACTGTCCTGGGATCACAGGGCTGTTCTGTTTATGTATTTTTCCTCTTTACCAAGCGCATAGTTAGAATTCACTGCCTGCTTGCAGGTTTTCTTGATGTTTTATCATAACAAATTTTTAGCTATAATCCTATTCATGGTTAAAAAAAGGCCCTACAACTCCCAGCATTTTCCAGCCAAGCTGTTGAAATGTACATAGGATCATTCCTTTAGTTTCTTTTTCATAATCTGAGGAAAGACTTTGATAACTGTTGCTTGCTTGTCCTTGATCTCTATATGAAATGAAATAATGCCATATTTAATAAAAATCTGACAATGTCTTTGCCTTTCACTTAGGTGGTACATCCATATTTGTGTTGCAGCTCCATGTATCAAGATTTCCATATTCTGCTATTTTTTAGTTCTATTAACAGAGATGGCCCAAGCATCCACTTTTGTTTGAGTTTCTGAAACTTAGTTTCCAGAAAAGAAGCCCTGGAAGCTGATGGTAGAGGAGGACAAGCACTGCAAGATTCTGAAAATACAATAACAGTTAAGCCATATTTATCTTGAATGCCATCTGGCTGCTGCCTTGAATGTACAGCTCAATCTGGAGGCCCCCTAAGGGCAGGTCTGTGCTACAAATGTTTCAGAGCTTTTCTACACAAGGCTGCTAATCAGCTGTTAATGCCCTGTGCTGTCTGAGAATTGCAATCCAAGCCCTTACATGAAGAGCATTTCCTTGCATGCTTTTCCACTATATAACCTCTAGGTGGCATTGTAATCCAGCAGAATAGTACAACTATACAAGTGAAAACAGAGTTTCCTTAACTTTTACAATTAAATGCTGCATTTTCCCTGTTTCTAACAACTTGGCAAAAAGGTGCATTAGACAAAGAAGCAAAACTGGAGGGTCAAAACATGGTCTAAGCAACATGTAAAAACCATTAGTAGGAATAATTATCACACAGTAAATGGCTTGTATATAAACACTCTCCATTTTATTCAGTTTATTTATTTATTAGATTTATATCCCACCTTTAAAAAAAAAACAACTCAAAGCAGCTTACATCGTTTTTCTCCTCATTGCCACAACAACAATTCTGTGAAGTAGGTTGGGCTGAGAGTGTGTGACTGGCCCAAAGTCACCAAGTTGGGTCCATGGCTGACCAGGGACCACAACCCAGATTGCCCAAGTCCCAGGCCTGTGCTCTTAACCACCAGAGCACTCTGACTCTCTACACTGATTTAACTAGTAGTGCAAGGCTTCTGGGAATTGTAGTTTGAAGGTGCTGTCTCTCTCCACCCCCAAGCAAAAATAGCAGCTCCTCAAGGTGAACCCATGACAGTTCAACCAAAGTGAGGTTTGTTATGCACACTTGGTGTCAGCCCCAGGTTTCTGGGGACCCTGGGAAGGCACCTTCCTCAGTCCCCTCCCTCAGTGGCTCTGCCTTCTCACTCCCATGGTCACCAGCAGCTGCTGTTCCTCAGGTTTTTCTCATCATCGCCACCTCTTGCTTGCTTGACAGACAGATTGCCAGCAAGCAGGTAGGCAGGGGCGCTTTCCCCCATTCTCACCAGCACCATTGTCTGCACAAGACTGAGGGCAAGGATGAACAAGCAGACTGCGGCGGTGAAAATGAGAAGAGACTCTGTGGGGATCTTGTTAGTGAGCCCTTGCTGGGATGTGGGCTCTCATCAGGTACCCAACCGGTCCTGCCCCTAACACCAAGCCCAGACACATTTAAGAAATCTTGCAGAAAGCAGCATGAGTCGAATTATTTTACAAGGCTGCACACAATCACCTGGCAATGTGCATTACTGGGCCATGGGAAAAGCTGCTTGACTGTATGACTGGATTCAGGAGAGGACCAGCTTGACACATGCATGCATTGGCTGCTCGGTAAATTCAGGGGGCAGAGGGTTGCTGTGATCCAGCTCAGGAACACTTGTGACAAGACGGAAAGATGCCTGCACCTCCGCTGACCGCTGCCTTAGCTCCAGCCTGCTTTTGATCCTTGCTAATGGATCAGTTTCCTGGGCTGAACCCAGAATCTCAGAATGTCTCTACTTGAGGCTGCTAGTCACCATATCTGCTTTTGGCTTTGTTGGATTCTGAGCTCTACACAGCTTCTCCTTGGCTGCTTTTCTACTATCTACCTTTTCTAGGTGGCACAGTACTATAGCAGAATCACACTGCTGTAACACACAAGTAGGAAACAACCTTTTCCTTTGCTTGCAGAAATAATACCCCATTTCCCCTGCACTTAAAAAAGGAAAAATAAGTGCTCTTCAAAAACAGAGGTTCATATCATGAGCTGCAAACATCCGTGAGTAAGAAATCACACATGCCCAGCAAATGCCTTGTGTAGAAAAGCTTTCAGAATTCAGAACTGTCCACTATAAATAGAACTCCCTGCACAAAACAAACTAGGGGTTATATTCAATAGTCCTAGTTAGAGATCTGCGAGAACGAATGGGACTTGATATTGGCTGCACCCCAATATGCTTGCTTTCTGCATTTGGGGAGCAAGTCAATGGGCTTTTGCCGCAGAGGCATGTAGGTCTCTGATCCCCGCTGTCGTGGTGCCTTCTGTCAGGTGTTTCATCTAGACGGTCCCCTCCCTGTTGCTCGACATCGCCCTTTCCTTCCTCTCGCAGGCCAGAGGCAGAGAGGCAGCCAAGTACAGAAGAATATACAAACATCCAATTCCACCCCTCTAAATGCAGTGATAATGTTCAGGAAGAAGCAGCCTTGTGATAAACTATTTGTTTGGACAAACCACCTCTTTCTACCACATTTATTAAACACAGCCTTCACCGGCGGGAGATGATGGGAAATGTAGACTAACAAAGCTGGGGAGCGTTGGGCTGGTGAAGCCTGATTTTATGGGCTTTGTGTCCCATCCCTCTTCTAACGCATGCAAGGCAACATGCACGGCATTTCTCATTTCGTCCTCTCAGCAGCCCTGTTAGGTAGACAAGAGAGTGTAACATGCCGAAGGCCAGCCAATGCGCTTCAGGGCCAAACAGTGATTTTAAATAACCATTTCGTACATCTAAACCAAGCAATTGAGTCACTCCTATGCCACTGGCTTCGTAACAAAAGCAAAACAAGCAATGCAGAGATGGAGAGAGAGCTGGGAAGAGAAAAAAGATGACTAAGAAGACCATGAATGAGATTTATACAATCATGTGGCATATGAAAAGAGATGGATACAATTTTTCTCCCTCTCTCAGAATTCTACAGATCAGTGGTGGTGAACCTATGGCATGCGTGCCACAGTGGGCACACAGAGCCCTCTCTGTCGGCACACGAGCCAAGTCACCCTAGCATTGCTCCAGCAGCCGAGCATCGGATAACAGCGCACACAGGGGCCATGTGCCTGCCCAGAAAGGAGTGGCAGCACCAGGGGATGACGTCACACGCCGTGACTCATTAGCCGCGACTCGTCCGAACTTTCACATGGCCGGTCAGTGCGCTGCAAAGGATTTATATATATTCGCTTGGACTGGCTGTGAGTTGTTTTTTCTAAACAAAAATCTCAGTTTTCAGGTTATATTGTAGTGTTAGCACTTTATGATAAATAAGTGGGTTATTTATGTATTTAATTAAAACATTTGCATGCTGTCCCTATCGCAACAAAGCCTTGGGGCAGCTCACAAAGGACACATAAATACATAAATAATAACAATGTAACAATTTAAAAAATTGTTTAACCCCCCCCCCCCCCGGTGCTTTCTCAGCTCAGTTATGGGTTGAAGTTTCGGCACTCAGTCTCTAAAAGGTACACCATCACTGGGTAGGGTTACAAAAACGAGGTGTCCTGGTATGATTTTGATGGTTGGAATGTGTTTAGAATGGGCAGAAATGTTGAGCTGTGCAGAACAATCTACTCAAGGAAGGCCTTTTTAAAATCGCTCTTTTTAATGGAACTTTACCCCTACATTAGGGTTGGGGTGTGCACCAGGGTAGGGTTAGGGTTACAAAAACATGGTGTCCTGGCACGATTCTGATGGTTGGAATGTGTTTAGAATGGGCAGAAATGATGAGCTGTTCAGAAAAAGCTACTCAAGGAAGACTTTTTCAAAATGGGCCTATTTTCAATGGAAATTTACCTCTATATTAATGTTAGGGGAGTGCACCAGGGTAGGGTTAGGCCAGTGGTGGCAAACCTGTGGCACACGTGCCACAGCAGGCATGCAGCGCTTTCTCTGTTAGCATGCGTGCCAAGTCACCCCAGCATCACCCCAGCAGCCAAACATTGGATAACAGCATACATAGGGGCCACACACATGCTCAGAAAGGAGTAGCGGTGCCAGGCGATGACATCACGAGCCGCGACATTAGCCGTGACTCGTCCGAGCTTTTGCATGGCCGGTCAGTGCTCTACCAAGGATATATATATATTTGCTTGGACTGGCTGTGGGTTGTTTTTCCTAAACTAAACCTCAGTTTTCAGGTTTTATTGCAGTGTTGGCACTTTGCAATAAATAAATTGGGAAGTAGTTTGGGCACTTGGTCTCTAAAAGGTTTGCCATCACTGCTATAGATCTTGCAGTGTAATTGCTGGGCAGGACAGAGCCCACCTAAAAAGGACTTTTCCACATAATGTGTAATGAATTTGCTGGATGCAGTGCCAGTGGGCATGGTGATGTCTACTAATTGAGCTCAGAGGTGGTTGGTCAGAAAGTAGTTTGGGATCTACTGGATGAAATGTAGATGGTTTTTGATAGATCCACAAGGTTTCTTAACTATCACATTTCACAATAATATCAACAAAACAGTTTTTTAGCATGTAAAAAATGATGAAAGCTTGCTATAACCACAAATGGACCTTTCTGTCATAAGATCATCTCAGTTCTGATGGGGAAAACAAATTCCTAGGCTCAGAGCCATTTTTAGTGTCTGACTTTTGCATCTGGCTCTCAATTTGGTGGAGAACTTTGGAATGATAATATAAATCTGCACTAGCCTGAGGTCAATCCAGCCTTGCTCCAGAGGATTTGAAAAAGACGTAGGCTGCAATTCTATGCAAGTTTAGACAGAAAAAGCATGGCTGGAACATGCTGGAAGTTGTGGGATTTTGTCTAAACGTGGATAGAACAGCGCCCTTCCTTCACAGAGGAAACCTTTTCCAATGGCTCTTAGTTACAGCAACTAAATGGTACTCCAAGTTCACTGTATATATTGCACAACACCAGCCGCTGGGAAACAATGGAGGGAAAGGGCTGCCGCAGAAGCATTCAGCTTGCCTTCCTGTGGGAAACAGGATGCCGGGTTAACCGAGACGTGTAGTCCCAACCCACAAGGCTCACCTTGCATTCTTAGGAGAGCGTTAATTCAACCGTCCACTATTTGTCTGGGATAGGGACTCAAACAATACAGAAGACCAAGACGGAAATTGGCTGGAATGCTGGGCAGCTTAAGCTTTGGAAGCTATTGTGTGTATAAGAAGATGAATATTGGATATATTATAATGTGCATGGTCTGACTTTGTAACTTTTTAGGATGGTCAATAAAAAAGGAGAACAAAAAGGAATCAACCAGCCAGAGCAATTGTATCCACCTTATTGTGAATCCCCTCAGTATTTCTCCAGAGGTGTGAAGTGCTTACTGATGCCATTCCGAACCCAAACCGTGATCCTCTGTTTATTCAGAAGCACTAGCTTTCTTTGCAGTAGTTCAGGCCCATGGGGGTATACTGTTAATGACAGGGTCCGAGTGATAATGCAGTGCAGCAGGTGTGTTTTAATGTTTGAATCTGGTTGTGTTCACAGAAAGGCTTTTTCGAGTTGGAAGCTACCCTGGAAATTCTCCAGGCAACACACACACACTCGGCTCAGGTATTGCTGACGGATGGCAGCCCAGCCTCATTAAATACCTCCAGCAAAGAGATCCCCCTGCCCCCAGAGGCATTCCACTCCTCTGTCAAACAGCTCATACCTGAGACATTTTTCTGAGTGTTCAGCCAAAAGCTCTCTTGCCATTTCCACTGGTTGGTTCCAGCCCTGCCCTTTCAAGTGACAGAAGCTCCACCTTCTGCGTGACAGCCTTTCGGATATTTAAAGGCAGCTATCATGGCCCTGGCACGACTTAATCTTCTCTTTCCCAGTCCTTTCAGCTATTCTCAAAGGACCCCATACTATGAAGGAAATTGACATGGATCTTGATGCTTTTTGTCAGAAGAGAAGGTGAGCAAGAGGAAGGGAAAAAGGATTTTTCTCAGGAACAACAAATTGGTAGAAATCTTTCTTTAGCTGGTTTTGCTCTCTGACTTGCCTGAAATTATATGGTAACTCCATAAAATATTCTGACAAATAGACCTCTCTCCATTCATAAGAGTTTAGCCTTCATTCTGCCTAGGCTCAGATGTGACATATCATACCATGATGAAGCAAGCTGAATTATAATTTGTCGTGCTGTATGAATTGACAAGCCATGGTTTACAGTAAGCCAACTCACCAGAATTAGAAACCATGGTTTGAATGAGAACTGACAAACTATATTTACATCCAGCTGATGGTCCGCACTCAGACATTCCTGCATCTTGGAAATGGGAGAGCTGAGCAAACAGAAAATGAAAGCAGACGTGAAGCCCTAAATCCTATTTGGAGCTCAGATCATGGTTTGCTGACTAAATCTTTGATGTAAGTGTGAGGGGTTAGAGCAAACCATAGTTTGGTATGATGTCTGAACTGAGCAAACTGCATGTCATACACATGCAGATGTATGTGTCTTATAGCCATCTTTGAAGAGCATAGAAGCGATGGGTGAGGAAGGATACTTCCCTTGCCCATTTCCTTACTCCAAGGCTCCCCACAAGGCTTTTCTCCCCACAAAAAGAAAGCATTACGTATTCCCTGCCTGGAGCACAGTCCTCCCCTAGCCGATGTTATCTAGAGGTGCTGGATCATGACTTCCACTGGATAGAGGGCAATGTGGTGTAGGGGTTACAGTGCTGGAATGGAGCTCAAGAGGTCCAGGTTCTGGTCCCCACTCAGTCATGAAGCTCACTGGCTGACTTTGGGCCAGGCACAGCTTCTCAGCCGAACTTTCCTAGCAGGGGTGTAGGCATAAAATGGAGAGGATGGGGGCTCTGCTTTGGATTGCTAACCAGAGGAAAAAGGGGATATAAATGAAACGTAATATTTCCCGTTCACCATACTGGTTGTAATCTAACGTATCTACAGGGCACATGTTGGAGAAGGCTCTGTTTTATCCCTGTGCTTGCCTGTCCTTTGCAGCAGCAGCTTTTTCTCATCAGAAAGGGCTGCTGCAACACTGTTAGAAGAATAAATCACATGTAGTGTGTGGCCATACTGAATTGCTGCCTTTTGAGCACTGCTGAGGTGCTTATAACCTAACCTGCTTATTATCTAGCGCTATATACAGCTTACTGGCTTGGCTGCGTTCTAAGCACAGGCTGCAGCAGGTTTTCTCCTGGTTTGGGGAAAAGGTGGCAGCAGGTGAGGGGTGGCAAGTCTGGATTCTGAATTGTACTTTATGAGGCAGTGCATACACTGTATTAGTTTCCATTTTGTTGCAGATTTGAGATTAAAGCAATATATGGCATTTCCTTTCCTGCTTTTCTACCACATAACCTCTAGGTGGCACTGTGGTATAGTGGAATAGTGCAATTACAGGCGTGGAAGAAATGTTTTCTTCCAGTTGTACAAACAATATCTCATTTTCCCCTGCTCTCAGAAAACTTGCCAAAAGTGCTGTTTAACAACAGAAATGCTAGAGATCATGTTTCAAAAGAATTTATAAACAATTTATAAAGAATTCAAAAGAATTTATATATGAGAAGGGATAAAGCAATAAATACATCTGTGTAGAAAAGTTAATAGTCAAGGCAGGCTTGAACACTTAAGAAGAAAAGTGGAAAAGCTTCATTTGGCTTAATTTTTCTTAGTTTTAAAATAAACTAGCTTAGTTAAAAAAAACTATTTTTCTTTTGGAATTGGAATCATATATGGTGTTCAAGTGCAATGCCCTGTCACCACACATTTTCATGCGTCTTTCAAACCATTTCTCCAGTGGGAACACAGAGAAAACAGCTCTTAACTTTATTGGAGAAACAACATAGGCCAGGAAAGCTGCTTTCCATGCAAAAAGTTCCAGATTCAGTCCTGTTTCCAAGATCATGTAGAAGGTGATGAGAAGGATCCCTGCTTGACACCCTGCACAGCTGCTGCCACTGGCTGGATAACGCTGGGCTGGATGGATAACTACCCTTGTATGAGGAGGCCTCCCATGTTCCATTGCTGTCTCAGGATCTGCTCACAAAAGGATTAAAGTTGGGCACTTTTGAAATGCTTCCCTGCCCATCTCCCTAAAACTCTTGGTTTCTTAGAACCCTAGTGAAATGCACGGAACTTTCTCAGACCTCTCCAAATTTGAACTCTTTATGAAGAGGATGAAACTACGAGCCCAGAGAGGAAGAAATGCATAGCTGGTGGGGCAGAGGAAAGACTCACAGGCCAGACTGAGAAAAGCTGAGAGCTGGGATTCTTGAGGGCTGCATGATTCATTGCCATCAGAAAAGCGACAAGGAGACATTGTGCCTGAACTTGGGAGACAGCAGAGGTGGCACCGTTCCACACAGCAATCTGCTGCAGCCGCCACAGGGAACAAACTGTGATATCTCGATGGACGCAGAGGACCTAGCTATAAACATGGGGTCTACATGTTCTGGAGGAGTAGTGCTGTGAGCTGGTGAACTCCTGGGTTCTTTTTTGGTATCCTAAAAGTGAAATTTAATAATAATAATAAATAAATTAAAAATAATTATTAATGATAAGTATTATAATGATTATTATTATTATTATTGGGATAATGAGGAAGCCAAACGGTTATCCTTTGCCTAGTGCCTACAGCCACTTCTGGGATTCAGCACAGCTCTGTGCCACAGACAGAGGAGTTAGCATTCCAAAAACAGAACAAGGACTTTATTTTTCAGTCAGAGGAAGCCCAGCAGGAGCAAGCTAGCAAGGGCAAGGTGCAAGAAAAGGAGCGGAACAGCTGTGCGCTTGGCAGCGTTGCACAAGTTCCCCTTGCAGCAGTTGGTGACCAAGCTGTAGGTGACCCCCATGTGGGGAATGGGTTGTTCCTTGCCGCAGTTTAGAGAGCGGGTGCAGCCCTTGTTTTGGATGACCGACACCCCCAGCGCAGCTCCCTCACCTACAAAGCAATCTTCCTCTTCTGAGCAAGTCATCTTGGTGCTGGGGCACCTGGCTGAGGCTGTGACTTCACAAAAGTAGCATTCCTTGGAAAGGACGTGAGGCAGCATGCAGACTAGAAGGCACGCAAGCCGTACTGTGCGCTTCATTGTAGGCCTGAGGCGGCGATGGCTGCCAGGGTCTGATTTCGTAAAGATTGATGAATCTGACCACCAGAACCCCCCTCTGTCCGTTGAGTTACTTTATTTTTAATTTGGGGGTTTGCGTTTCCCAGCTTCCTATTTCACTTGGATTGTTGGGGCTTCAGAAGTTGCAGAACTAGATCTGTTTTGCAAATCCAGTTCTCAAGAAAAATGAGTCTTTGTATCCCAATCACAGAAAAAAAGTCCCGTTTTTCTTAACGTCAAGCTTTGCTTTTTCAACACATTGGATCTGTGCTTCCTCTTTGGGGCTCTTTGTTTGCAGAGACTAGTTGCAGCACCCAAATTGGCTTCATTAATCATGCAAAACTAGATTCCTTTCATGTGACTTTTTTGGAGTAGTTCAAATCGATGGAGGATACCTGTGACTCTAGAAGTGATCCAGAATGTCAGTCTGATCCATATTTCCAAAGGAGAAGCTTTTCAGAAGTAAATTGCAGAACTAGTTTTGGATCATCCAGTTTCAGAAATGCAAATCTTAACTGATGAATTCACAACTCATAAGCTGTCAGAGCTGACCAGCCTCCAGTAGAGATACTAGAGATGCTGATTTACATGGACTTTCCAGAAAGTTAATGTGAACTGGGTTTTCTTGAGCTTCAGTAACTCAAAACCTGATTGATTCAGTATAGAAGAACTCCAAAGCTAGATGCCAACTCTTGGTTCTGGATTCTTCTGTTTACTAATCATGTGTTACCAACAAGCAGTCTCCAACCAAGCACATCTAACCCACCCAAGGGACAGAATGGATATCTGGCTCGTAGAATTTGCTGGCTGCTAAAGCAATGACATCAAAATGGATGTCAAATGCTCACTGGTAGATTCCATTGATATCTTCCAATTGGAGGTCACTTTGGTGACCTCACAGAAGGAAGGTGAAAAATGCCATATGACAACATTATTCAGTGCAGAAGATTGGAGGGAATCTTGGCATTTGAGTTAGGGAACAAAGTGAACACAAGCAGGGTTATTAGGTTCTGACTTTGGGGAATAAGAAACAGAGTCTTAGCCCTTGGGTTTTTGGAGTAAAGTAATGGTACCTATGGTTTAGGGCAGGATAGGAGGTGGCAGAAGAGAGCTGGTATTCTCTGAAACTAAAGTGGTAGCATTTATAACCAGAATTATAATTTGTTACTCTCTTTGTCATCTGGTAATGCAGGAGTGTTGAACCTCTGGAACAGAAGACAAATCATGAGTTCCCAGCTGGGCCCAGCAGGGTTTCCCAGATACCCATATTCCTTTCTCTTGGTCACACACCCTCAATCATCTATTGCTTGGTGGTTTCCTGGCTTTTTCCCATTCTAAAAGGTTGAAATGCATCACCTATGTTTAGTTGAGAGGTGTAAGAGCTTCAAGCTAAAGTAGGGAGGTAGTTTGAGTATTTTGCCCCTGCCCCTTTTGACTTTGGTGCTGCCCAGCAGGGACATGTGAGCCCTGACTGCTTCTTTGGAATTAAGTTCAGCCTTCAGGTTAGAAGTGGTTTGCAATCACAGTAGTAATGAGTTGCAGCTCCATGAGGAAGTATTCTGTCAAATCCAGCTCCCATTTCCACTACCAAAATCCAGTTCACCACAGCTTCACAGATGTCCTCTGCCATCCAGCAGGAATTAAAAGGACATGGTTCCAGCGGCATCAGAATAAATACCAAAGTTGCACTGAAGTTACAGGGAGAAGGAAGCCTTGATGATGCAGGTTCTTCCTGTCGCAAGACTTACATTCCCCCCTAAAGTGGGAGAGTGCACAACTAAAGGAAAAAGACTCCAGACTTTTATATGGGCTGCCATCACTTTTTGACATGCACAGAGATTCTTTAATGCATCTCTAACGTGTACGACTGGCAGAAATGGGACGGCTACAGTTTTTCCCAGCACAGGGCTGTCAAAAGAATCCCTTGTTGTATTCTTGCCTGTCATGTGGCTTGTTAAAGGCACAGAGACTCTGCCTCGCCAAAAAGCAGCAACTAGTCTTTTGCCATACCTGGCAGCATTAACTCTGAGTCATTACAGAAGGAAGGCAGACAGAATGGGAGCACAGCACAGAAATAAAATGAGATGCAATGACTTCTGGAAGAAAGGTGGGTTGCGGTGCTCCACACCTGCTTTAGGGTTATGGAAGGAAGGGGCTTGGACAAGTCACTGGGTCTGACCTGGAAGAAGGAAGGTATGCAAACTGAAATGTTTAACCTGAGTGAGCTCTGACTTTTTGAGATGGCCCAGGCACAGAGAAGGGCAGCACAGAGGGTTGGGTTGAACCTAGACTTGCTACTGCTTTGAATTATTACTTATACTTTATACAGAGTCATCCATGTGTAATTAAGTCCCTGACTCCAAGGAACTTGCACTCTAAAATGCCCAGAGGGCAGAAATAATGGACTGGGGAGGAAAAGACAAGAGTGATGTGTGAAAATGCAGTTAGCATGTGCTCGATGTAGTTAACTTTGGGCATGAAGAGTCCAGCCTGAAGACATTTTGCTGCCTGAAGCAAGGTCCAAATGTCCCACCCACCCCCATAAGGATCCACGTGTTAAGGCAAGGCTGGGGAACATATGGCCTTCCAGGTATTGCTGGACTAATCACCCCCAAACAATTGTTATACTGGCTGGAGTTGATGAGAGATGTAGTCCAAATAAGTTTGGAGGACAATAGTTTCCTCCTGCAGTTAAGCATTTTGCTGCACCTTTCAGAAACCATTTCCTACTTCTAGCTATTTCCCCTCTTCCCCCCAACACCTGTCATGGTGCCACCTGAAGCAGGTGGCTTAATTCTCTGTACAATGAGGCTGGGCCTGGTAATGAGGATTAAGATGATAAACCAAAATCGAAACACAAGGAAGGCTTCTAGTATTGTCCAGGATGTTTGAAAAATTATTTCTGATGGTGCAGGGATAGGGGTTACATTATTTTGTACAGATTCATCCCATTCATAATTCCTGGATCCATACGCAGGTGTAAACAGAATCTCTGGTCAGGATTCTTTACATTTCTGAGCTTGTGATATATTCCACAAAGCAAAATATGTTGGACAACAACATATGCACTCTGAAAAATGTGCATCTTTCCAAAACGTGCAGAAATATGCACGGCTGCACACACTGGGAATGTATACATTTAAAAATGTATTCAGGAATGCATACAGTACAAATATGTGCACTAATTTCTGTATGAGTTATTGGATGGAAAAAGCTCTCTTTAAAAAATGGACGCAGGACATATCCATCAATTTCCCCTGCCTAACTGAAATACTCCTGAGGACACAAGGGAAGGGCAGGCTGTGGGGTTTTCCCCGGTGCACCTGGCTCTTTGCCAACCTTGAAGCACCACATATGGCCCAATTGTAGCATCTTCCAGGCGAGGTGCTGCTCCATTCCCATACCTGGTATATATTGCAACAGGAAGAGTTCTTACCTGTAGCTGCCAGTGATCACAACTTCTCCATCAACCAGTACAAATTTCTCCTTCATGGTCCCTGTGATCTGTTTCTGGTGTCTGCTCTGGAAGGTACAGCCACGGATGCTTCTGACCCTCAGCTTCTAGAAAAGGGAATGCAGGGTTGCAGTGGGAAAAGTTGGGTCATTTTTCTCGGTTCTACATCTTTGCATAAGGGATCAGTTCCTATTCCACTAGGATAGGGAACTGCTCCTGTTAACCTAGAGAAAGGGAAAGCAATATTTTATCTGTCAAGGGCTGCATTCCCTTATGAGTAATCCATCAGAGAATACAAGCAGGTAGCAAGCAGAGGAGATTCTAGTAAGATTCTAGAACTGGCCCAGGGCTTCCTCCTCTCCTTCTGCTACCTCCTTTCCCTTCTCTTTCTGTGCAGGCTGCCAGGGGAGGGACAGAGTCTGCACTGATTGCAAGCAGAGGGCTTTTGAACTTATGCCTGACGACTACATTAAATCAGACCAAGGGCCACAAGTTGCCTTCTCCAATCACTTCATTAAAACACATTTTTATTTTATTCATTTATTGATATCCTGCCTTTTTCCTACAAAGGGCTCAAGGCAGCTTACATCTCCTCCTCTATCTCATCCCCACAACAACAACCCTGTGAGGTAGGTTGGGCTGAGAGGCTGAGACTGGCCCAAGGTCACCCAGTTGGCTCCATGGCTGAGCGGGGACTAGAACCCAGATCGCCCAGTCCCATGCTCTTAACCACTACGCCACACTGCCTCTTTTGACAATGCACAGGGTTCTTGGGCACATTTTGCTAACCCAACTTAAATCTCACTGTTTCTCAAGGAGTAAAATGTCTAAAAAATCCCTGATGTGTGGTGTTAGTGGACGAGCACTTAAGGCTGCTTCCATAGTTCACTGTTTTAAAAAATAATACCTGGGCTATTTTTTAACCCCATACTTTCCAATGGCTGGAATAAAGGCAAATAACAACAGACATCCCATCTGTATTTATTCCATTTGTAACCTGCCTTTCCATGAAAGAGTCAAGACAATGTACATGGCTCTCTTGCTTCACTTTATCCTCATCAAAACCCTATGAGGCAGGTTAGGCTGAGGGATAGGGACTGGTCCAAGGTCTCTTATTTCATAACTTTACTAAGATAAAGTGGTGGGGTTTCTTTTGTTTTTAACATTCTGTCTCTAAGCCGCTTTGAGTTTATTTTAGAAGAAAGGGAGAATATACACTAAAATGCAATTAAAATTAAACGAATCATACATCAAAAGAGAAAAACAGCACCGTTGTGACAGCACACCGTTCCTCAAAAATTAGTTTTAAGGCAATAACTTTCTGTGTTTTTCTTTTAAATTTAAAAAGTTAATTCCTATAAGAAACTTATTCTGGAGGCATCAGAGATGTGCCTCCTCAAACTCTGCACCCTCCATATGTCTTAAACTATAACTTCCATCATCCCTGCTTGCATTGTTCCAGGGAGGATGGGAATTGTATATATGGAGGGTGCTAGGTTGAGGAAGGCTGCCATGGACAAACCCCCTTTCCTATTTTGTTAGCAAAAATCTATATCTAGATAGAGATAAACAAATGGAAATGCACTAGCAGAGTTCACTTAGTGCTCAGGTATAACTGCCCACAGGGGGAGGCACATCTGTTGAGACCTGAAGCCCTCCCCAATTCACCTCTGTATGACGGACATTAAGGCAGGTTTTCTCAGCCATGGAGAGGAAGGAGGCGAGATGCTGTCGGCTGAGAACAATGTAGACAGGCACTCGGCGCCGGACGGCTGCATCATACAAATCTAAGAGGATGTCAGGGTCTGTGAAAACATCCATGGCTATAGCAATTACCTGGAAAATAAACAGGTTGGTTTGTGAAATATGTACTCAGGCTGAATTCAGATCACCCCAAATCAATTAGCATTATTTTTATTTATTTATTGATTGATTGATTTATATCCTGCCTTTTTCCTACAAAGGGCTCAAGGCAGCTTACATCTCTTCCTCCATCTTATCCCCACAACAACAACCCTGTGAGGTAGGTTGGGCTGAGAGTCTGTGACTGGCCCAAAGTCACCCAGTTGGCTCCATGGCTGAGCGGGGACTAGAACCCAGATCCTCTGAGTCCCAGTCCCACACTCTTAACCACTACAAGCTGCCTGGGGAATTATGCAAATTAGATGGATGTACATCAGATATTTGCCTTGCATCCCTCACACTGATTAAGGGAAAAATGATGGGGGAGTGGAAAGGCTCTGGTTTGATACTGGGTCTTTTATTATAATTTTTAATCTACTTTCCTGAGTAAGGCAAGTGGAGGTGTTTTTGTATGTCTGTTATTAGAAATCGGGGTGGGGAGCAGAGAAAAACTCTGGTGGAACAAGTAGATCTTCAAATTGTTAAAAAGGTTAAATATTTGGGAATTTTTCTTACAGCTAAGTGCACTACTTTGAAAGAAGACAATTATGATAAACTACTCAAGGAAATTAAGAGCGACTTGGAAAAATGGGCTAACTTGCAATTATCTTTGTTGGGAAGAATAGCGCTAGTTAAAATGAATATATTGCCAAAGCTTTTGTTTCTATTCCAAATGAGTTCCATAAAAATTGATAAAAAATTCTTTGATGATTTAAATTTCCAAATCTCGAGATTTATATGGAAAAAGAAGAAACCAAGGATTAAATTAAAAATACTTCAGGAGGCTAAAGGGAACAGGGGTTTTGGTCTTCCCAATTGGATGTTGTATTATCAAGCTTCTGTTTTAACATGGCTAAAAGAATGGATAACCTTAAGAAATAAGGGAATTTTGTATTTTGAAGGGCATGATTTGCAAATAGGTTGGCATGCTTAGATGTGGTATGAAAAGTGTAAGGCACATGGTTGCTTTTTAAATCATTATATTAGGAAATCATTAATGTCGGTGTGGGAAAAGTTAAAGATAAAACTGTATACTAAATTACCAAGATGGCTTTCACCTATGGAAGCTCTTGTATATCCAAATGCATTGAATTTTGAAATGATTGTAAGATATGATGATATTTTGGATAATGACGGAGGATTGAAATTGAATCAAGAAATACAAGAACAAGGAACTGATATCTCTTGGTGGCACAAGGTTCAGATGCAATTGAGATATGCTAAAGACTATAGAATGTGGGGCTTTTATAAGGAGTTAAAGGCATTTGACCAAGTGATTCTTAAATCAGATGAGAAAATGAGTAAAAGATTATATAACTTCTTACTAGATAAGAGAATGGAAGATGAACAGGTTAAGGAAACTATGATAACGTGGGCAGAAAACTTTGGATATAATATTGAATTAGAGAAATGGCAAAAGCTGTGGGAAAGAAATATTAAAGTAACATTAGCAACTTCATACAAAGAAAACCTGTATAAAATGTTTTATAGATGGTATTAGTTGCCAAATAGGTTAGCCAAGATGTTTCCAAATATGTCAAATGGATGTTGGAAATATAAACATAAATTGGGTACTTTTTATCATATGTGGTGGACCTGTGATAAGCCAAAAAAGTATTGGATTAAAATACACAAATGGCTTGAGGAAATGTTACAAAAATCTTTAGCATTCAAACCTGAAGTTTTCTTATTAGGCATTATACCTGATGATGTTAGTAAACAAGCAATGCATTTGACTCTACATGTAATTACTGCGGCGAGGATTGCATTTGCTCAACACTGGAAGAGTGAAGAGCCACCTACCGATGAACTGATCCTAAAAAAGATCTTGGACTGTGCAGAAATGGACAGACTGACTTTGTCGCTGAAGGAGAAAGAAGATATAGAATTCTATCAAACTTGGGATTCTTTTTATTATTGGCTAGAGAAACGGGACTATGCATAGATTTAAATATGTTTATAGTTTAACATAAAAAGAATTGTGGGGGGCTGACCCAACAGGCCCGATGTTTTTGATGATTGATGTTGTTTTTAGTTTTTCTTGTGTTAGGTTTATTTAGAATAAAGCTTATGCAAAAAAAAAAAAAAAGGAAATCGGGGTGGGAGCACAAGGTCACATTGATGGGCAGATGGCTATTCTTTGACTTGTACCATGGCGACCACCTTCCATTCATCCATCAGTAAGCTGCAAAAAACAGTTTTAATCCATTCAAAGGCCATCCTGAGTTTTCTTTGTAAGGTTACTAACATGCCTTCTTCTCAAAACTGGAAATGGTAGATGATGATGATGATAACATTTCTATGCCGCCCCTTGCCGAAGCCTCGGGGCGGCTTACAACACAATAAAATACATTGAAATACAATAGAACATAATAAATTACCACTAAATACAAAAATACAAAAAATACACTGAGATACAAACATTATAATATAAAATTAAAATTAACAGTATAAAATAAGTAAATAAAGAATATAGGAGGAGAAAGGAGAAGGAAGAAGAAGTTGCCCTGGCCAGATCATATATTTTAACAATTAAAATGATGTTTAAATAAAAAGGTCTTTACCTGGCGCCGAAAGACCAGTAACGACGGTGCCAGGCAGACCTCTTTGGGGAGTGAATTCCATAGGTTGGGTGCCACCGCAGAGAAAGCCCTCCTCCGAGTACTTACTTTCCTAATTTCTTTCATGGAGGGTTCCCGGAGAAGGGAATCTACACTTCTAAGGTGTAGATGCCACCTTAGAAGAAGCATCTCCTTCATCACCCTCACACAAGATGGGATGCCTCTTCTCCTGGAGGGGATGCTTCTTCTAAGATAACATCTGCTGAGAAAAATGTATGCCACACCTAAGAGCAGCAAAAGTACGGCATACCCCCTCCCAGTTAGTGTTTTTATCACAGGTAAAGGCCGTGCAGCTTTAATACATGAATTGATTCAGTTCTCGTTTGATTAAGTGAATGAGATTTCTGTAGCTGAGTGAAAGCCCTGACTTGGTCCAGGGAAGCCACTGAAATTGGCCCACCCCATCTGAGAGTGCCTGTTCAGATGGAAGGACCAACTTATTTCCATCCATGTTAGTGTAACATGAGTATATATGTAAGTCTCTTCCACTCCATTGCCATATTAATCTGCAATGGTAATTTTAAATCTGTACAGATTATTTTGAATGTGTGTTTTTGAGGTATTAAATATGGCTTTTGAAACATATTTCCTCTGAAAATCTCCATTTTAGATGCATTTTTAAGCTAAGAACTGCACTGCGAAATTCAGAGAAGGGCAGAATCACAAGTTTAATTGCATTTTGATCCCCAGATGGGAGGTACAGATAAGGATGGTCCTTGAGCATCTTTCTGTGTGTCCATGGATAGCAGTATTTGAGAGTGTAAATATGAATCTCACTAGGCAACCCACCTGTGTGCTTCTGTGCCCTGTGCTACCTGCTGAAGCTATTTGCAAATGCCTATTTGTGAATGTCTACCTGCAGAAGTGGCATAGAGCTTTAGTCCTCTCTCCATCTGGGAAATGGATCTGGCCGCTTTGAGCTTCCCTCCAGTTGGCAAAAGGGGAACACTCTCAAAACACAAGAATAACAAGCACGGCAGCAGAAATAGAACTTGTTCCCAGTGCAATTTGAGGAGATATTTTATCAAGGAGAATGTAATCCTTCTTGATAAAACTACATTGGACAACCTTTCCCTTCCACCTCACCTAAGTCTGCTTAAGTAAACTGGAGGTTAAAAGTTGTCTCAAACACTTTTATGAAGTAGCAATAAATTTCCCTTACAAAAGAGTTTCCTCAAAACACATTAGCAACCCATTCAATTTTGAAGCTGTCTTTTTTTTGCTACCTTGCCTTTTTAAACAGCTGTTTGTTTGTTTGTTTATCCTTTCTCTTTTGGAACAGAAAACTCACTCACAATGAAGTAGAGGAGTGCAGTTTGTAAGAGAGATTGGTTTCAGGGTAATTATCCAGAAATGCTCAATTTTGGAATTTCCCTCCTTGTAAAGCAGCTTTCCCCCAACCCAGTGCCCTCCAGATGTGTTGGGCTACAACTCCCATCATCCCCTGCCAGCATGAACAGTGGTGATGTTCCAACACATCTGAAGGGTACCAGATAGGGGAAGGCTGCTCTTCCTTTATATTTTCGTTCTTCCTTCCACATCCATGAGGACTAGAAACATGCCCAATGCCACCAGCATCTCATTACCTTGTTGGCTTGCTGGATGCATTTCCGCATCAGTTCCTTGATATGTGGCGCTCCCTCTCCTGGAGGGTGGGTATAGACCTCAGCTCGAGTAATCCCTTTCCAAGTTCCGTCTTCTGGCCAGCCCAGCTCCAGCTCCGGAGTAGGTACATCTGACTGCTTAGGCCAGTAGGTAAGACTCCATCCTTCGTCTCCAAGGTCACTGCCACTCCCTGCTCGGCCTGGTGGTGGTGCAGTTGAGTCTTCTGGTGCAGCCTTCAGTTCCTGCAGCTCCCCATCAGACAAAAAGGGACGCAGCTTCTCCTGGGAGAGGCACTTCTTAAAGGCCTCCTCACCTCCAGTCAGGAGGGCATCAAGGGCCAGTCGCTGACCCTCACTGTAATAAAATTCAGGGTTCGATTCCGTGACCTTAACATATGGCTCATCACTCTCCAGGCAGTAGACCTGGGAACGAGCCATGGTCTTTGGGGAAAGGGCATGAAATGCTAGAACACCCACAGCGGTCCCTCTGTAACCAAAAGAAGCCAAGCCCACCTTTCTTTTTCTGCCACTCTAGCACTGGTCTCTGTGTACACAGGAAGAATTGTTCCCTGCACAGCCCTTAGATCAGTAAACCAAAATTCCCCTTCCCTGCAGTTCTCCACTGCTCCATCAATTTTCTTTGGCTCCTAAGAAAGGAAATGGGGAGGCTTGTGGTGGTGGTTTTCGTATACACAGATACCAGCTACATCCTTCATCTTGTTTCCAGGGATGTTCAGGTCCCCAGATGTCCAGAAAAGGAAAAAAGAACACCAGCCCGGCCTGCTTCTGGCTCTTCAGCAGAGGCGTGAAATGCAGATTATCACCCTGTGAAGCTGTTCAGGGCAACGAGGTAATAGCACTCACTTCCTGGTCGCTGCAGATGAAAGAGGGCAGCCCGGGTTCAAAACCTGGCACCTTGCAGATGTGGTGCAGCTCCTGGACAACTCAGTCAATCATTAACCTTACTTAGACTGCCCTGACCACCTGTGGTTTCTTCTTGAACTGCAATGGCACACGGGATCACCCTACAGGTCATGTGAATGTTCTTAGAGAGCTGGGATGCAGCCTTCTGCCTTGGCCCAATAAACTGATTTTGATAAAGGCATATCTCTCAGCTCATAGACTCTTCATTACAGCTTATATTCTAAATTGAGCACACATGGATTCTCAGGTGGGCAGTCCGTTCCTCTGTCTGGGCCAAAACAGCCCCGGCCCTCCTATAGACCCCTAATTTCAGCTTCACAAACAGATCAATGCTGATAAATTATAGTGCATATTCTGAGTCTTTTAAACCTATCTGAAAAGTCGACATCTAATGGTATCTGTATCTTACTGCTTGATTCTGATTACCACTGCCCCTAAAATATGGTGGAGGGCAAGTGCCAAAAAATGCAAAATAAATACCCCAAAGAGGGTCTCTGGGTGGGGGTTGGAATCCTAGTAGGTTAGAAAGGGGCACTCAGTTGAAATTGCTCAGGTTCCTTGACAAGCCAGGAAATAGGGCAGATGCCAACACTATCTCATCCTGCCAGGTAACATAAAGGAAATCAGCAGAACAGTTCCTCCTTGGACATTTTTCTCCGATTCATGAATACCTCTTTTCCCTGTTTTTAACAACAGTTTATACACAAGTTAAAAACTTGTATGCATCCGTAAAGCCAAACCCTCCTTCCAGTAGCTTGCCCTGAGAATCAGTTTCCGTTCCTCCACTTCCAGGCACTTTTCCATCCATGCAGAAAATGGCTGCTCAAAAGTGGAATCATCTCACAGATAAGCAAAAGTTTTCCAAACAAATGTTTTTCCTGGGCCCAACTGTTGGCCAGGAAAAGAAGATGTCTTCTCCCTGACCAGCCAAAGGTCAGAAATCATTCTTGGCTCATCAACAAATAGAATGTCCTGACCAGCTGTTATTTTCAGTGACCAGTCAACTCTGGAACACCCAAAACTGCTATTTTTTCCTTTCCTTGTGTGAATAAGGAAGTGTTCAGCTAAGCAGTTAATGTGCCAGTTTTCTTAGCCCAAGACATTCCAAAGATTGAAATCTAAAGCTGCTGGAAGAAATAACCTGAGCCAGACCAGTGAAACCCAGGAAATGAAAAACCAGCTTTTCAGTCCAACTGCACTAGAATCTGCAGCCAGTCAACAAGAGTCCTCTGTTCTTTGCCTCTGATGGGCCAGTCCTCTTTTTATCCAAATCACAGCTTCATACTGTCCACTCTTCTCAGCAGATCATCTTTCAATAGTCAAACATCCAATGAACAGGTGGAAATGCCCTTTTTAAAGCAATGGGCATTGTAGTTCTCAGTCATTTAAACGTGAGACTCTTTCGGTCTTGAACATATCCACAGCTGGGCAGTCTCCCCCATTGTCAGCCAATCCCAGTCTAAAGGAAGGGAATTTGCTTTTAGGGAGGGGACTGTCTCTACAGGAAGGAGTCATCATCCACTGGAGGAAGGCCACCATTCGCACTGACAAATACATCAGGGTTGAAAGACCATCCCGTTTTCTGGGCACAGCACCTGAAGTGTACAGGAGAGGGGAAACGGAATACTAGAATTTTTCTAATCGTGTTCATGTCTCTGGGAGAAAGAAGGAAACAGTATGTTACAAGATTGCATCATGCTTCCTTGAGAAACAGCCACTCCTGTTCAGCGTTTCTCCAACCCCAGCACCTCCTGTGCATGAGCTGCCGGGCAGGAAACTGCAGATAAGATTACTTGTCCGGCTTGTTTGTTTTTAACCCCACCTCCATGGCTGGGAGTTAGAGGGCAATGGAGAAATCAGGGAGAAGGCCGGCCACATCGGGACTCCTGTGTCCTTGAGGATGGAGACGAGGCCCAGTGAAACGGTCTAGAGATCAGTAGTTTATTTGCAAGGCAGCATCAGAACGATTGAGACATGGAGTAGGCAAGCCTTTTGGTCCTGAGAGCCACCTGCAATGCTGGGTGATGGGCAGAGACCATATGCACCCGCAGACAAACACAAGCACACACACACACACAAACATGCATATCAATACAACTCCAGGCAGAGTGATGCCTTTCCAAGCCTGGGACCCTCACCCTTTAAAAGACCTGTGACCAGAATAAGATGCCAGGATGGGGAAAGTTTTTCTTCCATGAATTTCTGCTAGCTGTCAGCAAGCTGGAATTGCGTGTGTGTGTGTGTGTGTGTGTGTGTAGGGGGGTGCCTTTCCCCATCCCTGCATCTAATTTCCCCCTCAAGAGTTAAAGGCACAGGAGCCCATTAGGTAAAAGAAAGAATGATGATTCTGCTAATCTGCAAAAATAAAAGGATGCAGTCTCAGTATTATGCATAGCTAGTTACACAGGAGATCAGTGCTTCAGATTCCCTCTTTGACACAAAATTATAGGATCCTCTCCCCTTTTCCACAACTTGTGCTATCATTTCCAGTTATCAACCTGCTCCCCACTCACCCAACGTTCTTCTTTCCTATAGGGCTCAAATCTCCCATCGCAGTCCAGAAGACCTAGTTGATGTCTGCCCCATTGCACCCTGCCTTGAGTCTCTCCAAGCATTTGTAAATGCCGCTTTTTCACCTTCACCAATCCTCCTTTGTTAGGAGGTGGGGTGAATTTTAGTCCCACGTCAGCTGTAACTATTAGGCATGTCCTTCTTGCCCAGATTTTATAAGAGCTGCCTACCTCAGTACCTGCTATTTTGTTCTTGCTTTATTCCCCATACATACCTCCCGGCTTAGAGGAATTTTGGCTGCAAATCCCCTTTCAGTTCTTCAGTCTTTTTTCTGACTCAGGCAAAGTGCTACATCCAGTGTTAGCCAGAAAATGCCACATCTTCTCTCTCTCTCTCTCCCCGCCTCCCTCCCTCCAAACCAACTTTCAGGGTCTTCCTCAATGGCTTCAGTTTCTGTGCCTACGGTCAGGCAGAGAGTAGATTCAATTCACGGATCCAGGAAGCCCTGGAATTATTTGCAAAGCACCTGTTAGGTGCCTGGCTGCCAAGGGAACTTAGAAGAATCACCCTCCCCGTAAGCAAATAACGTAGCCGGAGAATTGTAATTAATGAAACAAATGCATACCAGGCCAGGGAGGGGCAGGATGGGGGGTGGGCTGTTTGATCTCTCCATTTTCAGTACTCACAGTGGGGGTTTCAGGCCAACTTGGCCTTTTGCTTTCAACCTGCTAGTTCCACAGGGGTGACGTCTGGAGATGCTGGATATTTCACAAACAGTGAGGCAATGTCAGAAGATGTTTCTTTCACATGCATTGCAGCCAGCGTGCGCCTATTATTCCCCCAAAGCTGCACATCTATTGTGAGGATTGACATCTTCCCAACATCCAAAGCTCACTATTTTATACCTAGGAAGATGTGCTGTTTGCGTTTGATTGCTGAGCTGAAGATGATTGTCATCCACTTCTCCAGAGAACCTGTTGGCCACTTCCTGCGATATCGTTTACTGGTTTCTGTATCATGCTCACCCACGGTTTACTCACGCTCACCCACAGGTTGTCGACATACCCAAGGTTGATTTGGCAGATGACTGAGCAACCATGTTTTGTTTTCTACATTCTTGGGTTTGTTTCCCTTCTCTTTTGCCTGCTCCCTTGCTGTATCCTGAATGCCTTTGTCGTGCTGTGTTACTGGCATGTAGAGTGGCTGTCTTTTTTTTTAAAGTATTCATGCCCTCTGCTTCTGTATAACCCATGAAATGGTCCATGAACAACCCACAATTCTGAGTCCACCTGTAATGACAATGAATTTAATACCTTGTTCATGTTTTACATGGTATTCCCTTACTTATACTGGCAAGTATTTTCAAAAACTTAATGTTTTGTTTCATAATTTTTATGGAGTTCCATGACACCACAAATATCTTTGAAAAAGATGGAACTTTTGATCAGAGCGTGGATTTGGCCTTCCTGTTCTTTCTTTATACCATCAGGTCTATTTGTTGACCCACACCAGACTCTGATCTTTTCTGCTTAGGTTAGATTCCTCTTCCTGGTCAGGTTTGGAATCTTCATTTGTGGATCCTCTTTCCACATGGATGGTATTGGGTTGTTGTCGTACCAAACTAGACAATCTCCCTCCTCCAGCTGTGACGTCTAGAGAGTGGTGATGTTTATTTTCACATCAATTGCAGTCTGATGTATTTTCATATGCAAATTAACTTTATGGGGAAATCTGGATTTAAACATTGGCAAGAAAGCATTTTTTTGGCAGACTTGGATGGACAGGCTGATTTTTACTTTGGATCCGTTTGTCAGTCCTGAGGATGGATGGACGGACGGACGGACGGATATACACACACACCATGTCCCACTTTGCATGCCACATGCATAGCAAGACAGGCTGCAAAACATTTGCTAGTCTCTAGGTATGGTCCTGCTGCCTCGCTTCAGAGCTACCTGCGTTGTTGGAAGTGTTAACTGAGGCCAAACAGTCAGTGTGTATAA